CATCCCTGGGTACCACATCCCCTCCCTCCTGCATCCCTGGGTACCACATCCCCTCCCTCCTGCATCCCTGAGTACCACATCCCCTCCCTCCTGCATCCCCTTGGGCAGGGCTCCTTCCTCCCCTTGAAACTGGGATTCCCCCAAGTCCCCGGATTCCCAGATTCCATTTCCAAGAGGAGGAAGGAGCCTTCCTCTGTGTTCAGGCTCTTTAGGATGCACTTCCCAGGACCCCAAACCCTCTGACCCCTCTCCCCACGTCCAGCAGCCGCTGCCGGGGCCAATGGATCAGGGGGTGCAGCCCCCCCTTGCTGTGGGATCCAGCAGGACGGGTGCCCACGTATCCAGCAGCAGGATTTGGCCCCATCTGTTTTGCCTCTGCTTTAATTTACATTCCAGGAATGGATCAAAACCCCAAATAAAAGCGGGAAGGTGATGCCAACTCCCACATCTGCCTTCGGGAGCTTCAGCTGCTGCCGCTCCTGTGGCCTCATCCCGGCCAGACAGCACAGCTGGGAAGCTTGGGATGGGGGGAGAGGTCCCACAGGGATCACAGACACTCCTGTGGGGGAGACCCCCACATTCCCTCCATGGGAATCCTCCAAAGGCCATCACAGAGGGACTGCACTGTGCTGGGGGGGGAAATCTCCATCCCAGCACCGGCTTTGGCCTGGATTTTAATGGCTTGTGCTGAACTGATGGCACCAGATCCCACCCAGGGCCTCCCAAAACACCCCATTAGCAGCCAGGCAGCCCCGGGGTACGTTGTTTTTCCAGAGAGTTCATGGAGAGGCCGCATTCCCCCCTGAGCCCCCCGGTTTTGGAAGTGTTTCCATGTCAGCCAACGTGTTCTGCTTTGATCAACATGACTGCAGAGGCACTGGGGCTGCTGGTAATAGAAAACAAATTGAACCAGGCTGGAAGTGTTTAAAAGGAACACTCCACGCACAGGAGCCAAAAAGTACAGCCCAGCCTATCCCAGGAGCTGCATCTTGGGACACCAAACACTGATGGGGCAGCAAAACACCCCTGACCCCTGCACCCTCAAAGCCCCCACAGGGAGATGGGTGGGGATTTTTGTGGCTGGTTTTGCCCTGCAAGGCCTCAAATCCCTTCAAATATCCCTTAAAACGTGGCCAGTTGGAATTTTCCCAGGGATGCAGCTCTGCAGGGACACCTTCCACTAGCCCAGGTTGCTCCAAGCCCCGTCCAACCTGGCCTTGGACACTTCCAGGGATCCAGGGGCAGCCACAGCTTCTCTGGGCAACCTGTGCCAGGGCCTCCCCACCCTCCCAGGGAACAATTTATTCCCAAAATCTACTGGAGCAAAAGAGATTAAAAGGTGTAAAGCAACCCCAGCAGACCCTGGGGAAACTGCAGAGATTTTGCAGGTGTACAGAGACATCCCAGTGGGGGCTGAGGTTGGATCTGTGACACTGCAGGGGGATTATCCCATCAGCAGGATACACGAGATGGCACAAAGGCCCCCAGATCCCTACAGAGTAGCCCAGGGGTATTTTATTTTTATTATTTTGAAAACACTGGGCTTGAAAACATCAAGGAACTCGCTGGGACTCTGGAGCCAACCCTCACTGGCATGTTTGGAAAGTGCACCCCCTAGACCGGACAAGGAAAAAGTTTCCACTTCCCAATATTTTAACCCTAATCCCCAACAGAAAATCAGATTTGGGATGTAATTTGCATAGCATGTCTCATGATTTCATTTAATCTGCCCAATCCTCTTAGGGAGCAGAACAGCATAAGTTATCACAGACAACGGGGCTGCTTAGGAGCTGCAAATCCCCCCCATCCAGCAAAGCCTGGACCTGGAGTTAATCCCGCTCCTGCCAGTGCCCATCACCGGGGAGGAGGGAGCAGCTCCAGCCCCACCCCGCAGGGTCACCCCCAAACTCCCTGGAGACAGAGGGAAATCACAGGGATTTCAGTCCCTGCCTCGCTCTCAGGCACTTTGCCCATCCCAAATCTTATTAGGAACTCCCCCCCCCCCCCCCGACTGACACTAAAAGATGTGCCGGGCTCCGTCTGCCTTCCAGGATTGGCTTATCCCGAAATTTCCTCCAAGCAGGGAAGCCACCCATGGCTCTGCTGCTGCTGGGCTTTGTCAGTTAATAGAGCATCTCCCAGAGCCTTCAGGCTTCATCTTTAATTTGTCCCCATAATTACAGAGAAAACGTATCCTTTATAACGACCCGGGCCCGGATCGATCCCGCCATCAGAGCCACGGCCTATTTTTCAATTAACTCTTCACCCCCATCCCCACCCCCCAAAAAAACCCCCCAACAAAATACTTTTAAAATGATTTGTTGTGATCGAATAACTCCCCCAAATACCACCAAGTATTAAAATCCCTACTTCAATATCCTTTATCCTTTAAGGTTCTTTATAATTCAATAAACAGGATTTCAAATCCTCCCCCAAACTGGGGGGGGGGGGCTTGTTCCGCGCCGCCGTTCCAGGCCACTCTTCTAATGCACACTCTTATTAAGCTGTGCAAGCTTACAGCTCTTTAATCTTTTGGAACACATGTTGAGAAGAATAAAAGCAATTTTGTTTGGGAAACTGAAGGCCATGTTCAGCTGGAAATCAGCTTTTTCTCTCCCCTCACCTCTCGCTGTACAGAGGCGGCCCCGGGGCCCTCACCCAGTAACCCCTGAAAGGCACCACCTCGCTCCATTCATCTGCTCTCTTTTCTCAGTCGTGGAAGGGGGGAATTAAGGTGGAAAAAAAAAAAAAAAGCCTAATTTTGGCTCTTTTTCCCCGGATTGGTACAATTTTACAATTTCTGCCCTCAAAATAATCGCAGATCTGGGCTTCCTCTGGCTCAGAGCTAATCTGGATGTAATTCCCCTACCTCTGCTTCTGCCCTTGGCAACACACAAATACAGATTAGAGGGTTATATAAATGTAATTTTCTAATTAATCATTTCGGGGCGGCTGACGCGGGGGTTTGTGTGCGGTGCTGAGCGAGGGGAGGGTTTATGTAACCCCAGCTCCTGCCATGGGCTGCAAAATGAGCTGCCCCTTCCCACCCAGCTCAGCCAAACCCCCACAGCCACACCAGAGGAACCCCTCGCAGCCAAACCTGCACCCCAACAGGCTCAGCACACCCTAAAAGGGGTGGGACACCCCAAAAGGGACAGTACACCCTAAAAGGGATGGGGCACCCCAAAAGGCATAGCACATCCTAAAAGGGGTGGGACACCCCAAAAGGGACAGCACACCCTAAAAGAAGTGGGACACCCCAAAAGTGACGGCATGCCCTAAAAGGGATGGGACATCCTAAAAGGGACAGGACATCCTAAAAGGGATGGGACACCCCAAAAGGGTCAGCACACCTTAAAAGGGATGGGGCACCCCAAAAGGGTCAGCACACCCCAAATTCCATCTCACATGGAACAACACTTTGTCCCACCCCAAACTGTGGGAAGCTGAAAGAAAGAGGATTTTGTTCCCTTTCTGAGCATCTCACAGAAAAACACCTTCCACGGCCTCTTTAAAACCAAACTGGAGTGTTCATTAGCTGCCCTATTTTTTCAGGTGTATTCTAATAGCACTAATTAACTCGAAGGTAGATTTTAGCACTTCAGCCTCCCTTTCTGCCTTCAAATGCCAAAACAAATCTTGCCATAATTACCAGCAATCCTTTTCATTACCGGCTGCCTAATTATCCTATTAATAGCACATCCTAAGAGACTATATTTGCTTGGCAGGCAAATATTTGTTTTTAAATTAGCAAACACAAAGACAAACTGCTCTGTTTGCCGAAGGATTTTGAAATGCAAAATGGTTTATATTCAGGGAAAAAAAAAACATTAATCCAAGTCAAACCCAAATGCTTAATCCAGTTGAAGCAGTTGGATCTCTTCAACAAGGGGGGAGGGTCCCTGTGTCAAGGAGGTGTCTGGGGATATCTGGCAAGGGGTCCTGGTGGTGTCACTGCTCAGGGAGGGATGTGATGGCCAACAAACTGAGGGTGCTGCCATGGAGGGAAGGTGCTGGAAAGGTGGGAGCAGGATGCCATGGCAAGAGGGTGATGGCACAACAAGAGGATGCTGCCACGGCGGGAGGATGCTCCTGGGGTGGGAGGGTGTTGTGGTTGGGGCTGGGAGGGTGTTGCCATCCATGGCAGGAGGATGTTCCCGGGGTGGGAGGGTGTTGTGGTTGAGGCTGGGAGGGTGTTGCCATGGCAGGAGGATGTTGTGGTGGCAGGAGGGTGATGTCACAGCAGCGGGATGATGTCACGGTGGGAGGACGTTGCCGTGGCAGGAGGATGCTGCTGAGGCAGGAGGATGGAAGGTTGCTGTTGTGGCTGGAGGATGTTTTTATGGCAAGAGGATGTTGTCGTGGGAGGAGGATGATGTCACAGTGGGAGGATGCTGTGGCAGGATGATGCTGCCATGGCAGGAGGATGCTGCAGGCACCAGGAAGCCTCGTGTCTCTCTGTAATTTATCCCACCAGGCCGGGAAGGTGATGCCATAACGTTTGCTTTTAACAGGGAGCAGAAGCGCTAGCCTGCAGTGTGAAAACCCCCGAGTGATTAGCCAGAAGAGTTAATTATCCTGTCGTTAAGAGGAGAGGTGCTAAAGGGCCTCGGCAATGGACTCTTGGAGGGGAGGGCACTGGGTATTTCTCAGTGGAGGGCACCGGGTGCTTCCCGGTGGGATGGTGACTCAAACCTCTGTCCTGGAGGGGTGGAGGATGCCAAGACGCTCCTCTGCCTGTGCAGGGAAGCGCTGGCAGAGCCTGTGTGGGAAGCTCCATCCCCAGGATTCAAACCAGAGGAGGATCAATAGATTTATCTGAGCGGAGGAACTCGGTCTGTCAGAGCAGCTGAATTATTTATGGGCCTGGAGGGGCCTTTCCCGGGAGGCTGCAGAGCATCCACCTTCACAGCCACAATTACAGCTCTCTTTACAAAACCAACACCTCTTCCCTGTCTTTTTTTTTTTTAAATATAAACCCCCAACTGTTTCATCCCTGGGTTACAAAAGGAGCAACAAACCCTGAACTTGCCACCCTCTGAGATGAAGGAGGTGAACGGGCAGCACTCTGCAGCCGTGTGTTCCTGCAATCCCAGCAGGCACAGGGAAGATCCCAGGTTGGAGGGGGGATCCCACACTTGGGGTGCACGTGCAACACAGGCTTGTGCCTGTCCCCAAATCCCCTGTGGTCACCTGTCCCCTCTCACCTCCCAAAATCTCCCCTTCCCTCGCTGTTCTCTGCAGCCCGAGGGGGGTGAAATGTGTGCCCCTTCTTTCCAATTCGAGACCACCCTCCCACACTGTGGGATCTTAGCCCTGCTGGAAAGGGATAGTGTGTCAGTCTGGATGTGATCCCAGTGCCTGCCACCACAGTGCCATCAGTGCCACCAGTGCCACCACAGTGCCATCACAGTGCCACCACAGTGCCCTGCCTGCAGCAGGCAGCCTTGCCAAGGAGTTTAGGGGAGGTTATTGGGGATTAGAGGGCCCAGCCATAGGGCCAATCAGCCACGGACCCAAACCTTCTGCCGGGGACCCAAACTCGGCCCGGAGGTACCATCCAGGTACACCCCTCTGAGGGGCAGAATGAGGCCGTGCCTGGGAAAGAAGAGGTTAATCAGCCTGCATAGGGCCTTGCCCGGGTTTACTTCAGTGACTGGAGCCTAAAATCCAGCGGCAGCAGCGCACAAAGGGGCTCTGCAACCCATTGTGCCCCGCGGAGACCACCCAGGGGAGGGCGGCAGTGAATGATGCAGCACCGCCCCGGCCAGCCTGCTCCTCCCTCTGCCCTGCCAGCCTCCTCCTTCCCTCCCTGTGCCTTGCCAGCCTCCCTCCTTCCCTCCCTGTGCCCTGCCAGCATCCCTCCTTCCCTCCAAATACCAAACTCTCTTGCAAAACTGAAGCCAAGGTCCTGCCCCGCTCCCTGGGGGAGAGAAGGGCCGGGGGATGATGCTCTTGTGACCCCCCACCCCACCCATGGGGTTTCACAGCCTCTGGGCTTCTCAGCCCGTGGCTCAGGTTGACGTGGATGTCCCTTGGCTCTGAAAGGCACCTGTGACCATCCCAGATACTGTCTGACTCCAGCAGTGGGACCTCTGGGACCTGCCCAGCCTTGCTGGAGCAGCCCAGGGATGCTTCCCAAAGCACCAGAGGCCGGTGGGTGCCTAATCTGCATCCCAGAGCATTCCACAGGCATCCTGGATCCAGATCTGCATCCCAGAGCATTCCACATGCATCCTGGATCCAGCAGCAACGCCGGGATGCCGTTTGTGACGCGTCCATGGCCACACTGCTTCCAGTCCCGTGCCTGGTGAGAGGAAGCCAAGAGCTGCATCCCTCCTCGACCCGAGCCAGGACATCCCTGTAGGTCCTGCTGACACCCACTGCCTTTGGAGAGAGATAGAGAATGGCCAGGCCTGGATCCCTATAATGGAGTCCTGGAATCTGCAATGGTTTGGGTTGGAAAGGACCTTAAAGACCATCTTGTTCCAACCCCCTGCCACGGGCAGGGCATCCAGCCCTCAGCCAGAGCATCCCCCAGAGCTCCTGGAGCACCTGGTCCAAACACCCCCTGGAATTCCTGGTCAAAACATCCCCTGGAGCACCTGGCCAGATCATCCCCTGGAGCTACTGGATTCCCTGGCCAAAGCATCCCCTGTATTTCCTGGAGACCTTGGAGTTCCTGGAGCTCCTGGATCACCTCCTCAGAGGATCCCCTGGAGCTCCTAGAGCCTCTGCCCAGAGCATCCCCCGGAATTCCTGGAGCCCCATCCAGAGCATCATCTGGAGTTCCTGGAGCCCCACCCAGAGCATCCCCCAGAATTCCTGGAGCCCCATCCAGAGCATCCCCTGGAGTTCCTGGAGCCCCA